AAAATGGTAAATTAAAAAAACATTTTTAAAAATTTTGTTTCATATATTTATATTCATTTTATTTTATTATAAAATAACATTAGATCAATTATGAAAATTGATCAATAGATCAATTTTCATAATTGTGCAATAAATGCTTAAAAAGCTTATTTTATAAACTCTCAGCGAATTCTAGAAAAAATGAGAATATGTAAAACATAGTTAATCTATCAAGTGGGTATAAATATTGTAGGCAACTTTACAGTATATAAATAAGTATATTTATTTATAATTATGAAATAAAAGCAATGTATAGGCAGACTATTGCGGACATTAATGTGGACATTTTTAAAAGAAAGAAAAAAATAATGCTTTAGTAAATAATAAATAAAGATTTAGTAAATAATGTGTTAACAGATAAAGTATTCAAATACAAATATGAAAACATACAAATATGTACAAATATGTACAAATACAAATATGAAAAAAATATCAAATTTCTATCTACTTTATTTGAACAATTTTTTGCTTTGCTTCTTTTGATGATATGGGATTATATAAAATACAATAAATATTAAAGACTATATTGCATAAAAATTACTCCAAATTTCTTTTTATTCCTATAATATCGACAAATATATAACACAACGGAACACTTTATCTTTAGGAAGCTGAAAAATTTCCTAACACAATATAGTCTATTGGCAAACATTATGCTGAGACATCCACAATTAATCTTTTGAAAATAGTCCTTACATTTTTTCTCATATATTCTCACTTTTTCTAGAGTTTTGCTGAGAGTTTATAAAATAAGCTTTCCAAACATTTTTTAAAAAGGGTTTGTCATAAATTTTTGATTGAAATTATTGAAATATTAAAATCCAAAGATAAAAAAAGTACTTGACATCATATCTGAACATGTGTTCCGAAGAGCTGCTCCTTAATCAAATAGGAGTATTTATATATCACTTATCAATTTTTTTTGATTTTATACAGTGATTCATCAATAACTACTCATCAGAAAATTTCTCTATTTATGTGTGTGCGTGTTTAAATATAAATTTAAACTAGCAATCAATTTATCAATTTATGTGATATCTTAACACCAAGCTAGGAGGTTTTTCCCATTTTGTGCAAGTTGTATTTTAAAGCACCATGTTGAGAAGTTTTATTTTATTAGTTGTAATAGTTGTGATTAATCACTTGCATATTTATTCTCAAATCATTTGTGTTAGCTCTCTAAACATTCATAATCTATTTCCATTGGTTTTCCAGATCTAGGTTGATCTTACAAAATTTAGCCCCACTTACATAAGCTTTAAAACCAAAGCCTTATTGTCACCTCAGACACTGAACTCTAACCTATTTGATCACGTATATTCTGTGTGGCTTCAGTTGCTGAGTAGCCAAACTGAGTAGCCAAACTAATAAAGCAGAAAGTTCTGTTCAGTGTATACAACTGTGTCTTTAAAGCTGCTCATTTTTTGCAATATACAAAAGTAGTTATGCAAAAACTTCCATTGGCCAGATAAACTGTTTCATGCCTTATATATATACACAAATCATGGAAACTTTAAAAAAGAATTTCTAAAAAATAGTTCATTACTTTTTAGCCAAAACAAAAATTTCCTTATTTTAATAGTTATCAATTTAAATCAAGTAAACTTTATCCAAGTGTATTTTTTATAAGTTTAAGTGATTTTTTTTACTTATATATGCCTCAAATTTGAGGCATATACAAGTGATTAAAAAAAAAAAAAATATATATATATATATATATATATATATATATATATATATATATATATATATATATATATATATATACACACATATATATACACACACATATATTTATACACACACTTATATTTTTATTTATATATGATTTTTAGGTATTTTAGCCATGTTTTATTTTATTATGGAACTTGACTCAATCATAGCTCACGGTACCCTAAGCAATGAGCTATGCAGTTGCCTTCTACTAAATAACTTAAAATCATAACAAAAGACTCTTTATTGGGCCTCAACAATGTACACCAAAAGCACCAAAAGAAAAACCATCCATGTGCAACATGGTACTGTTAGAACTCCTGTATTTTATAGCTGTTGATGGAACTAACCTCTCTGAGAGCTACCCAAAAGTTATAGAAACCTTACTACCAGCTAGCCTCAGAACTGTTAAACTGATTTTTAGACCTGTGCCCTCATTAGGCAATAACAGTTAAAGTTGCATAGCCACTAACAAGGAGACACAAGCATCCTAGGCAGGAAACAATGCAACACAGATTTACATCTACACCAGCCTGATAGATAAAAAAAGGGGTGCAAGGTTGAACATAGATTACAAACATACATAAAATATGTTTGTGTTGTGTAAACCTCTGGTGTGGTAACATACAGTGAGCGAACACTGTGCCAGAGGTTCAGTCAAAACACAAATGGATTTCTCTTCCTTGATCTTGTTTTCCTTATTCATATAATTTCCAATCTTTTAAGTCGTCTGTTAATTGTTATTTTACTTTATAAACTTCATATTTTCTTTTTCAGTAACTTCCAACTCTAATAGCGGTTGCTTGTGTTCTTGTTGAAAGTTTTAAAAAAATAAAAAAACTTGCAGGTGAGCAGAACAAAAATATACAAAGTAACTTACAGGTAAGCTAACACAGCAACTAAGACAATTTTAAATATATAACAGAATTATACAACATATTTACTTTAACATAAAACATGTTTAATTTAATTATAATACTTAAAGAAACAAAAAAACTGAAAAATGCAACAAATTTAAAAAAGCATAAAGTAGTTAAAGAAAAAGTCAGACACTATTAACTCATAGATTGTTTCAATAAAGATTTGTGATATAAAGATTTGCAAATTAAGATTTGCAAATTATATGAATCAGGAAAGCAAGATGAAGGAAACGAATAAAAGTTTTTATTACAAAACACAGCCATGATATAATTAGTAATCACCAAGATAATGCTACTTATGGATTTAAAATACAAATTACACCCCACGTTTTATACCTGATTTTGAAAATTTTGAAAATGACCTATTGCACTTAATTAAAACAATAAAGTTTTGTCATATAAGTAACGAATTTCAAAAAGTTAAAAAAATTTAACTAAACCATAATATTTAATTTTTGCTGATAAAACAAATAACATTAATAAACTCACAACAGACAACTACAAAAAAATAAAATGTGACTAAACCACTAAACCCCTAAAAATTTGGACATTTAGAAGCCATATGCACCACTAAAAAAATCAACATTGAAAAAGGAGTTAAATCAACCGCCCCTGTCCAAGCTTTTGTAACACTTACCGACTATAAATCAAAATTAATAATATTCTTAGAAATAAATTAAATTTATATATAAACACTTTCGGCCCTCTAATTAATTACATCAAATTTTTAATCACAATATAATTAAAGTTAGCAACAGTTACACAAAAAATGTGGAAAGAATTACAAAAGGTCACAATAATGCTTTGTTAAACAAAAAAGAAATTTTAAATGCAAAATTACGGAAATATGTAATTGTAACCAAAAAAACAATTGCCCAATGATGCGTAAAATGTTAATCAAAAAATGATGTATAAATATGTTGTTTTTTCTTAATGTACCTGATAAACAATATATTGGTTTAACAGAGGGAGAATAAAAAAAACATTTTGCAAATCATAAGCAATCCTATAAAAAAAATAAAAAGTATTTAAAAGAAACCATGCTGTCAAAATACATATGGGAATTGAAAGATAAAAAAATTAATGATTTTACATTGAACTGGTTCATCCTTAAAACAGCACATCATAATATTTTTTTAAAAACACATATTATGTCTACAAGAAAAAATTGAAATAATAACACATGTGAACCAAGAATATTTATTAAATAAAAAATCGGAATCGATTTCTAAATGCAGGCAAGAAAACATGTTTCTCTTTTCTGATGAGTCTTTATTGATATAACATTGTGTAAAATAAAAAAATTCAATTATGAACTTTCTACTAATTTATCTTAGTTCTGTTTTAAGAACATTCAGCATTTATGTAGAATACATTTAAGGAAATGGAGGAAACTAATTAAACTTAATCATTTTTTAAAAAACCACAAAAATGCAACTTAGTAGACTGGAATGCTTTTTAATTTTTTTAATAAAAATAAAAACAATCTGAATTTTTTTTTTTTTTACTGTTTACATACATCAACTGGCAAATATTTAGAACATGCAAGGAGTGCTGCTACAACAGCTACAAAATAGAACATGTAGAGAGTATTGCTATACCAACTGACAAATAGGTAGAACATTTGAGGAGTGCTGCTACATGGACTGACAAAGGTAGAACAAGCAAGGAGTGCTGCTACATTAACTGAAAAATAGGTAGAACATTCAAAAAGTGCTGCTACATCAACTGAGAGTTGTGGTTTGGGCAAATTTTTCTAAAGTTTTTAAACTTTTTCCAGTCTTCTAAATTTTTTTAAAAAAAAACATAAAGTTTATAATTTATAGTAGAAATTAACGACAACCAAGCAAAAGTGTGTGTTTATATATATATATATATATATATATATATATATATATATATATATATATATATATATATATATATATATATATATATACATACACACACACACACACACACATATATATATATATATATATATATATATATATATATATATATATATATATATATATATATATATATATATATATATATTTATATATATATATATATATATATATAATTATCAACAGTGTGTATAATTGAAACAAACTTAGTTCAAAAAAAGAGTTTATACCCTCTAAACTTTATCTGATTTTAAGTAAATGACCATCTTTATATCTGGGTATGTGTTTTATATTTGCAAGAATAAATACCAACAGTCAGGACCTAAAAATTTCCCGGAAATTTTTAGGTCCTGACTGTTTACAATCTCCTAAACATTTTATTTTTTACAGCAATAAGTATTGTAAAACAAAAATTCTATGTTAGTAGCAAAAGTACCTTGGCATGGTTGAGCCATCAACATTAGCCGCAAGAAAATTGCTTTCATATTCCGGTAATTTAACTACATTTTTTAGCCAAGTAATAACATCTGACACTTTCCACTGGTTAACTTAAAAAAAAAAAAATCTCTTACAAAAAAAAAAAAAAAAAAAAAAACAAACAAACAAACATGAATTATGAAAAATTATTTAAAAAAATAATTAAAAGCACACCTAATTATTTATTTCAACATTACCTTCATTATTTTGCCATTTTTCCCATAAACTTTTAACAGATATTTTTGGATTACTTTTATGAAGGACATTTTCACGGGAAGTGTTAATATATTGCAATTCTGATTTTAGGTACTAAAAAAATTTCATAAAATTTTTTGTACTAAATTATTATTATCATTAATAACCCTGGTGACAAAAATTTGACACAATCTTCGAGAAGTTAAAAGTTAATGAATTTTTAGTTAACCAGTCTTATTTTTTTAGTTGTTTTGTTAATAAAGTGTTAGTTATCTTTTACTGAAACTTTTGTTTACTTAGATTAATTAATAAAAAAGTTATCCAAAAATGAAGCCAACTACATTAATTGAAAAAGAGCACAACATTGTAATTTGCAACCTAACGCTAAAACAAAGAGCGTTAGAGTATTTTGTTGCCTCTAATCACCCCAAAAGAACCATGAAACGTTATATGGCAAGGTGGAAGAACAATAAGCCAAAGTCTCGTAAACCTCGATCAGACAGAAAATCAAAAATTATGATTGCTAGGAACATCAATTGCCTAAAAGGTCTTTTGAACAACCGGTCTGGAACTTCAACAAGAATTGCAAATAAATTCAAATGTGATCATTCCTACATTGTAAAAACATTAAAAAACAAAACAAACATTTATTATTTTAAGAAAAAACAAATCCCTGATCGCACTGATAAACAGTTAAAGCAGTTGCAACTAAAGTGTGAAAGTGTTACAGTTTGAAAAAAAATATTCTTGTGTGAATCTCAAAACCATTTACTGTTTCTGCAAGACAGGCAATTAACCAAACAGTGAACAAAAATGATTGCATCATCAAAAGATTGGTTGCTTTTATCAACAAACATCATTATGTAATTATGGTAATTATGTGTTCTGGCCTCTTCACATTATGCTAGAAGTGTGACCAATTATCTCGATGAGAAAAATAACCCTTACGTAACAAAAGTTGATAATTGATAATAATAAAAAGTTGATAATGATCCGACATGTGTCCCAATATTACAACTAATAGAAAATTTCTGGTCAATCCTAAAATGTTATGTGTATGAAAACAATTGGAAACTGAAAATGAAGATCAGCTGCGAAAAAGAATCCATTCTTGTTTAAAAAAAATAATGATAAAAATCTTGTGCAAGGCATGTGCGAACAAGTTTACAAAAAAAGTTGACGCAGTATGTCGTAATAGCGAGAAAGCATTGTTTCAGTCCCGAAAGTAAAAAACTAATATATTTCTTAATATTTTGTACTAATTTTTTGTTCATTAAATTTTTTGTTGTACTATTACCGCTTGTGTTTATTTTGTGCCAAATTTTTGTCACCAGGGGTTATTATTATTATATATATATATATATATATATATATATATATATATATATATATATATATATATATATATATATATATATATATATATATATATATATATATATATATATATATATATATATATATAAAATCTATTTCAATTTTTTAAGGTAAAATTTTTAGGAGAAATATTTTAGAATTTTATATTCAGATTGATCTCGTAAAGCAACAACAACAAAAATTCTTAAAAATTTTTTCAATTTATTTTGCTTTTAAAAATCTTTTGAAATTTAATAAATAACAACATCATAATTGAATATTTTTAAGTAGTAGTAAGTTAGCATCCGAGTTAGAGACTCCTAATATTTAAAGTATCGAATCATGTATAGTTTTTCTACAAAATGGTTGGTGTAGAATAGACAAGTAGTTACTACTGGACAGTTAGTATATATAATTGAATTTGTGTAACATATTAAAACTTTTAAAATTTATTAAGAAGTTTTGTCCTTTTTTAATGTTTTTTTATTTACACAACCAAGAATTATTATTTAAAATTTGCTTTTAGTCTTCCAGAAAAAACTATTTTCCATAACTTTCATTAGTTTTTATGAAAAATCTAATCTAAAAAAAGTAAAAGAGTGACCGATTATTTTTATAAACTGAATGAAAATTCAATTGCATTTTTTTTTGTTTTGCAACTTAAAAATAAGATACACCATCAATACTACTGATAATGCTTTTAAACAACAAAAAAAAACTTTTTACTTCTAAAGATTGATAATAAACATTTTTTTAAATTTTTATATTTTTATATATAAACAAGTGATACTAATGAAATTACTGTTTAAATTACAAAAAAAAGTATTATAAATGACATTCTTTAGAAAAAATTCAAGAATTTTTCCAAGCTCCTAGAAATGAATATCTAAATAAGACCATTCACTCATAATCCAGCCTTTTAAATTGACTAATATTACCTTGAATGCCATTAATAGGAAAAACACATGACATTTAATATGAAGAGATGCGAACAACTTCTCACTCTTCCAAGTTTTATTAAAGTTTACATAGCAAAACAAAAACAAAAACAAAAACAAAAAAACTATTGTGTTTTTGACTTTTAAATTTATGGGTTCATCAAAAGTTTATTAAAATAATCATTTTCGTTGTAGTTTATAAAATTGTCTAATTTGTTTTACAAACATTTACATTCATTGTAAAAAAAACTTTTTATCAATATAATATCTTCCGATAATTCAAATAATTGTCTTTTATATAAAAAGCATTTATTTATACTATAATTATGTATTTAAATTATTTATACTATAATTATGTATTAAAGATTTACATAATTATATATAATCATGTAAATCTTTAAAAGAATTTTCTTGCTTTATTACCTTATTTTTACAAATGTGTGGTTAGAAATAGAGTGTGATCGCACACCTTTTATGTCCATGACTGCACATAATCTCTATTTTTTCCCTTTTACCTCCAACCTGTATACATTTGCACATTTTTGGGTAAATCCCCCTCCCCATATCTTCAATACAAGGTGGAGGGAATCTTATGTTAAATGATTAATTTCTCACCCAATTTTTTGATAAAAAAGTTCAAAAGTGCCTGTAGAAAACTATAAATATACGAAGCTGTTTTAAAAAATACTTATAAAAAAAAATAATACAGTTAACCAAGCATAAAGAAATCTTGGCATTATCCGCCATTTGGAAAACACTCAGATTCAGTTGATTTGAAAAGGCCGATAACCCCTTCTTTCTGCAGTTATGGAACTATTTTGCAAATCATGGAGGCTATTCTTCCTTTATGCAACTCATTAGGTCCAAAAACATCAAAATACTTTAGGCCAACAATACAGTTTATCACCCTATGCTCAAGTGCCGAAAGGTCAAATAGTTGCTTAGAAAACCCATATGCATTCAGTGGTTTGAGTTTGTGTAACATGTCATGATCATTATTAAAGCCTAAAGCATTATCACCATAGGTGGCTGCTGAGAAAGCATAGATAAAATACTATCCATATTGCAGGGCATATTTTGCTAATTGGTTTGTATAGCGAGTGTTATTATCAAGAAGATAGTTGACACAGGTTTCTAAAATATCTGAACAAGCACCCAGATGGATAAAGGCGCAACATGGTGTTCTTTTCCTCCTAGCTGACTAATACCAATAAAGCACTTGAAATGTTAACTAAACAGAATTTTCTATTTGTCAAAAGTGCCAACATCATCAACAAGGTAGATGATGTTGGCACAAAGCTGATAAAACCAGCAGCATCTGTGATGACAATAAATTTGAAGATTGGATTTTTCTTTGCTTGGAGCCCCCTAATCATACCAATTTTAAAGTTTCCAGACATACAGTTTTACATACAGTTTTCTTACTATCAGACAGTTAAATACAGTTTTCTTACATACTGTAAGTTTGACATACTGTAATTTATATGAAAATTTAAAAATAGATTTAAATAAAACTGCAAAAAAATGAGAAAGTTAAGAAATTATTTATAGTAGTCTGAACTACTATAAATAATGTATGTTCATAATAAAAACATAATAAAAACATATGTACATTTTTAAATGTATACCATTTTCATGTACCCATTCTGCCACAATATTTATAACTGTAATTGGAAAATTATGTTTAAAAACTACTTTAGAAAAGTTCTTCATTGTTAATTAAAAATAAACTATAGATACTTCACTTGAATAAAAAATTAATTAAAAAAAAGTAATTTAAAGACTACAAAAAAAGGCATTTAAAATAAACAAAAAACAAACACTAAGGTAAATAAAACTCAAATATAATGATATTAAGGCAAATTTTTTGTTTGAAAAATGATGTTTCTGATGGAGGAGAATAAGATTACTTGAAAATTTCAGAAGATGAAAATACATGTGATAATGATATTGTATAACATGTTTTTATGAAATGTCTAAACAGGTAATATTCCATTGCTAATATAGGAAATAGGGCAATATGGTCATTTTTTTCTGATGTTTCCAATGACAGTACTGCTAAGAAAATGACTTGTGAACTAGTCATTATATTAGAACTGCAATCACCAGAATAGGTTATCGAAAACAATCATCTTACTATAAAATTTTCCACTACAATACAAGAAAGTGTTCACGTTACTAGCGCTCTCTTGACATCTAAAGAAAAAACAAAAAAAAGAAACACTTGGTAGAATTTTTATTATATTATTAAGTTAATTAGAGCGATAACTTATTAATAAACTCTTTTCAAATTTAGCTGCTGCAGGACAAATTTGATGTGGTGTTTTATTCGTTACTTATTTTATTTATTTTTTAAAAACTTGTTTATGACAGGTTAATTAGATTTTTGTAAATTTACTAAAGTTACTATAGTTTTTCAGACATATTTTTTTCATTGACACCATCCTTACCACTGCAATCTGATGCTAACAATTTTTATGAAGACCACCATAGTAAATTTTTGTCTTAATTTTTTGTTTATTTTTGTTTTTTGATTGTTTTATTTAGTTATGCTTTTTATAAAATATAGTCTTGTCAAGGGGTGATTTTATGGCTTGGCATCAAAACCATCCTGTGCCTAAAACAAAATGAACCTTTTGTATATGGAGGTGAAGACTTGCCTAAATTTAAAGTTTCAGCCTTCTAGTGGAAAAGGATAACAGAAAAGGTGGTAAAAAAAAAGGCAAAAAAAAAACATATTTGTTACGCACCTATCTGTTAACCTATACATACACTTATAAATATGTGATGTAGATACATTTATAGGTGTATCTACATCAA